CGCCCCCCCTGCCCCCCCAGTTCCGGCGTCCCTGCCAATATACAAAAAAAAGTATTAAATGTCTGTTTACATATTAAATTTATACTTCTGACAACACCACATCTTGTTCACACATGCGATAGTGTAATCGGGCAGAAATTAAACTTTATATGTACTATTTAAAGCACGCGTAGGAGTGTTTTATCACAAATAAAACACGACGCGTAGCGGAGTGCAAGTGCTTTAAATGGCTTAAAAAACGACTCGTCTTATACGAGTTCATTGGCGAAGTAATTTTTAAAATAAACTTTGTCTAAACCGAGAAATCAAAGCTAAAGTTTATGTAAATTAACATGATTTTTTATCACATATAAAACCACGACACGCTTATGATTTTTCTTTGCGTTTTGCTCCTGAATTATTAATGAGTTTTTTAAATCAATTTATAATCAGGAAATCCACAGCAATCAGATTGACAAAAATCAAAAAGCAGGGGCAAAAAAATTGTTTGCAACGACAACAACACGAAACAAAATTGTTTGCCTTGACAAAATGTCCATCCTAAAAAAATAATAGTCCGTCCCTTAAGACACACTTTTTTACTTACTAAAAGCGGTTAAAACCTGTGCTGATCCAGCTTTCCCAGATGTCCATTTAACGGCGCCGTTGATCATCCCCGCCAAGGGTTTTTCTATGCGTTTGCCCATAAAGTCATTCATTTGATTTACTTCCGGGTAGTACTGTTTGTTGCTTAGAGCCAAAGATAAATCATCTTTGTTGAGAATCCCGGCTGCCTCATAAGCCTTCCTTAGATCCACATGGTTCGGTTCGTGCATAACCAGAGCTGGATAGTAAGTACCAAACTAAAAACAAAAAAAAAGATATGTAAAATACGAATTTTAATTAAAGGGGAAGTCAAGTCCGTTCTGCGCATCGGTTCTGCGCATAACAATAGAGGGCCCTCTGAGGTAAACATTGCCCAAATTTTGAATGTTTCGAATTTTTCTGAACACAAACACTATTTCATATTCATGTAGAAGCATAACGAACCAAAATGGTGTTAGATATTCAGACAGTACATCATATTTTAAAAAATACAGCAGTTCAAAATGTAAACAAACCGTTTGTTTACATTACGGACTTGACTTCCCCTTTAACTAAACCGAAATTTCTGCTTACCTTAACTAAACAGTTTTCAAACTCTCTTAAGGCATCAGCCTTGTTGCACACCATAAGCAGCATCCCATGTTGCGGTTTGTGGACCATAACTTTATTGTAGGTAAGGCCCAAAACAGCAATGCTTTTATCAGATCCAAGGCGAACACGAATTAGCGAAAATGCCCCAAATAAAAGGCCCAACTCCGATCGCGCCTTCTCTGGATCCCTTAGTAATTCGCTTAGGAGTAGGTAACCCCCCCCATACAATAACGGAAGTAATTAGTATTCAAGCGAATGTATGTATGACGTCATATCATCAATGACATCACCGGAAATACTTGCATAAATTATGAAGTATGAACGTTCAACTATTGCCGCATAATTTATTATAAGTATGAACGTTCAACTATTGCCGCATAATTTATGAAGTATGAACGTTCAGCTATTCCCGCGCAAATTATAAAGTATGAACGTCCAACTGTATGTATGAGTGAGCAAGACCGTCAAGAAGAATCGTTAGCCGCACAATATGTGTTGGATTTTGATACGTCTCTTTTAGAGTAAGGGAGACGTACAAGACATACAAAAACGGCTCTTTTAAGAGCCACAAAATATACTAAAAGAATTAAACGAAACACTCGATTTCACATTACATATATTTATAGTATGCATCGATCAAGTTTTGCTAAGAATCACTACCCCTAAAATGTGGACAAATCAAACGTGTGTAGTGTACACTTTTCTGAAAATCAATACTCCTCACTCGATGAACACACACTCGATTTATCCTTTTCATAGT